AGTAGTAGTAGTAGTAGTAGTAGTAGTAGTAGTAGTAGTAGTAGTAGTAGTAGTAGTAGTAGTAGTAGTAGTAGTAGTAGTAGTAGTAGTAGTAGTAGTAGTAGTAGTAGTAGTAGTAGTAGTAGTAGTAGTAGTAGTAGTAGTAGTAGTAGTAGTAGTAGTAGTAGTAGTAGTAGTAGTAGTAGTAGTAGTAGTAGTAGTAGTAGTAGTAGTAGTAGTAGTAGTAGTAGTAGTAGTAGTAGTAGTAGTAGTAGTAGTAGTAGTAGTAGTAGTAGTAGTAGTAGTAGTAGTAGTAGTAGTAGTAGTAGTAGTAGTAGTAGTAGTAGTAGTAGTAGTAGTAGTAGTAGTAGTAGTAGTAGTAGTAGTAGTAGTAGTAGTAGTAGTAGTAGTAGTAGTAGTAGTAGTAGTAGTAGTAGTAGTAGTAGTAGTAGTAGTAGTAGTAGTAGTAGTAGTAGTAGTAGTAGTAGTAGTAGTAGTAGTAGTAGTAGTAGTAGTAGTAGTAGTAGTAGTAGTAGTAGTAGTAGTAGTAGTAGTAGTAGTAGTAGTAGTAGTAGTAGTAGTAGTAGTAGTAGTAGTAGTAGTAGTAGTAGTAGTAGTAGTAGTAGTAGTAGTAGTAGTAGTAGTAGTAGTAGTAGTAGTAGTAGTAGTAGTAGTAGTAGTAGTAGTAGTAGTAGTAGTAGTAGTAGTAGTAGTAGTAGTAGTAGTAGTAGTAGTAGTAGTAGTAGTAGTAGTAGTAGTAGTAGTAGTAGTAGTAGTAGTAGTAGTAGTAGTAGTAGTAGTAGTAGTAGTAGTAGTAGTAGTAGTAGTAGTAGTAGTAGTAGTAGTAGTAGTAGTAGTAGTAGTAGTAGTAGTAGTAGTAGTAGTAGTAGTAGTAGTAGTAGTAGTAGTAGTAGTAGTAGTAGTAGTAGTAGTAGTAGTAGTAGTAGTAGTAGTAGTAGTAGTAGTAGTAGTAGTAGTAGTAGTAGTAGTAGTAGTAGTAGTAGTAGTAGTAGTAGTAGTAGTAGTAGTAGTAGTAGTAGTAGTAGTAGTAGTAGTAGTAGTAGTAGTAGTAGTAGTAGTAGTAGTAGTAGTAGTAGTAGTAGTAGTAGTAGTAGTAGTAGTAGTAGTAGTAGTAGTAGTAGTAGTAGTAGTAGTAGTAGTAGTAGTAGTAGTAGTAGTAGTAGTAGTAGTAGTAGTAGTAGTAGTAGTAGTAGTAGTAGTAGTAGTAGTAGTAGTAGTAGTAAACTTGTAATGACATATTAGTTAAGTTATTTTTTGTTCATGACTAATGACTGTTGATATGTGTGTATGGGTACACTTCATGAATACATCAGTATAAATGTTTGTTTGTATGAAGGTGTGTGTGACTGTATGCTAAATAAGACTAATGCCTAGTTACAACATACACTAAGTCAGTAATAATTAAATCAGTTTAACTATAAATCGATATATAAACCATTAATCGAAAATTTATTCAATTTAGATAGACTATGTTCTTAAACAGCGTAGTAGATTTTTTCTCAAATTTTTAATATTACTTACTTACGCCTTTGTTGCCCCTCATGAAGGAGCATAGGTCGCACACCAGCATTCTCCATCCAACTCCGTCCTGGGCAATCCTTTCCAGTTAACACTCATCATTTTCATATCCGCTTGAATCTCCCGGCGTGATGTGTTCTTTGGCCTTCCTCTTTTTCACTTCTATTTCGGATTCCAAGTTAGGGATGGCCTCGTGATTTCCTCAATGTATGTCCGATCCTCTTCCAACATCTTTCCCTAATTTCATCTTCAGCTGCAAGTTGGTTCGTCCTCTCCCACAATAGGCTGTTGTTGATGGTATCCGGTCAACTGATATCGGTTATCTTGCATAGATAATTGTTTATAAATACTTGTACCTTCTTGATGATGGTCGTAGTAGTTCTCCACGTTTCAACTCCGTACAGTAGGACTGTATTTAATCCGATATTAAACCATTGTTGTTAGTCGATTTATTTTTGACAGTTCACGTGATTGTTTTCCCATAATGATGTATGTAAATAAAACTTTTATGTCGATTGTTGAAGAGATAAGTCGTTATTGTTCTAATTATCTCTGATACGTATTACATTCATGTTTAGCCACTACCTATCTCGATGTTAATTGCTGTTTGATTAATATAATAGTAGTAGACTGGAAGCTAAACATAATCATCTGAAGTGTTTACTTCTTTTCAAGACGAGTATACTGCACAGCAGTTCGTTCTGTTCTACTTTACGGCTGTGAAACATGGCCATTAAGAGTAGAAGATACTCGTATGTTACTAATATTTGACCACAGATGTCTTAGAAATATTGCTCGCATCTGCTGGGATAACCGGGTAAGTAATAGCGAGTTTAGACACAGGGTATTAGGGAATGATGGTAAATCAGTTGATGAGGTCATGAATCTTCATCGAGTGAGATGGTTAGGCCACGTGTTACGTATGCCTGAACACCGATTACCACGACGCGCTATGTTGACTAGTGTAGGGGATGGTTGGAAAAGAGTTAGGGGCGGCCAAACCAAAACATGGCATCAGTGTTTGAAGTCACTAACTTCTAGCCTGAGCCATGTTGGCAGATGCAGACTACCTGGTTGGGGTCCACGTGACTATCGTAACCAATGGTTTGAAACTCTGGGTGACATGGCTCAGAATCGATCACAATGGCGCAGGTGTATACACTATTTATCTTCCCTTGAACCTTGAGATTAAAATTGCTTCATAACTTTTTTCCTTCCTGTATTATATCCTTATATACAAGCTACTTTTTATATACTGCCACCACTAGATTAACTATTTCCATGAATCCGGTGTTGATCTTGTTGTGCTAACGAGGTATGGCAACTTGGACCGATGCATATATGTGCCTGGTCCTACGTTGTAACTGACTGACTGACTTCTTTTCAAGAGTTCCATTATTTGTTGATCTTGCTTTGTTGGCTGATTGATTGATACCTTTGTGCTTCGGGTTTCTATTTCGTAACTTCTACCTAGGCACGGTAAACAAGACTACTATGATTTACTTGTCTGTCCCTTTAACGGGAGTGAGAAGTCCTGTTTATATGAGAGCTTTCTTGATAAAGATTCCAGAAGAGTTAATTTTTTGCGTAATAAATTGGAATGACACAGAAAATAAATACTGTAAATTTTCATAAATGTTTAGAGGAAATTAGTTTGTAGGTGTTTATCACCTTCCAATCAATGAACACCTGATTGTTAGACCTAGTTCCTGAGTATTGTATCATAGGCGCATAATCTCTGGTATGGCAACTTGGACCGATGCATATGTGTGCCTAGTCCTATGTTGTAGGTGACTGACTGACTGACTGAATCTCTGGTCAGAGTCCATACAGTAATGTTAACCAATAACTGAAAACAAATTGTAGTAGCTCATATGTATTAATCATTCATCTTATACTAGATCTTCAGTAGGCTTGTGTAAGCTGTGATAACTTGGAATAATAAGAATTGATACTATTCGCCTACATTGTCTATGACTCCGTCAGTTAAATATTCAGACAGTATTCCTAGTTAAAAGCAATTACAACTACAATTAAATACACATTTTAATGTTACGGTGAATAAATAAGTCAGGATTGTATTATAGAGATCAAATCCCTTCCCACCCTTAAAAAGAAACGAATGTGACATAAAACTAATCATGTTAATAAGTGATATGATTGACTATTTAAATGCATTGGGTGTATGTTTTCAAAAATGACTGGTGTAATATTGAATACCGGACAAATTCTTACATTCTAGCACCAGTTTTTTCGTACAGACAGAATAGTCGTTTGCCTGATTTTTTCAATTTCCTGGTTAAACTGAATCCATCATACGTACACTCACTGTTAGCGCTTAGTATGATAAAGTGTGGCGATTAATACAGAGACTTCCCCAAAATGCCCTGGTACGGCCGAGAGTGGGGAGAGTCCGCTCTCCCTCTCCAAATGCTCGCACATGTCCATGCGTACATAGCCTCTATCAGGGAAGTCCTACTCACTGCCATCTCGTGGCATTATTACTGTTATTTACGAAATTGAGAGGACGAAAAGCCAATGTCCGGCGCTTTAACCGGGTTGGTGGACACGGAAAGTTCACCTAGTGGAGTTGGAAGACCCCCACTCCAAACCAATGGTGCACATGGGCTGGCTCCAGTATCCTGAGGGAACAAATAGCGTATGAACCTATTGTTGGTCACCGGCTACCATGGGACTACATCTCTTCACGATGCTCTAGTGCTTTGTGGATCAGACCTTTAGGTCGAAGGCTCCGTGTGTGGCCCCCTAAGAAAACCACCTGCTTTAGTTTGGGCACCTGGGTAGTATCACAGCCCTCACACAAAGTGTGGTGCATATGTATCTGGTGTCCCTTCGTACCAATATGTATGTGTTTAAATACGTAAATAAATAAAATACAGAGACTCGAGATGGAAGTCAATCAATCATAATAATATTTAGTGCTCAGGTTTAATATCTATTGCTCCAAGTTACCCTTCATTGTCAGCACAATAACGAGAAATTCAAAAGGCTGATAACACACTTCATCCTCCGGGCGTCAATCATTATAAGTAAGTAGACAAATTTTTTAAGGAAAAGACTCATATGTCTTTAGTTTGTTTATTGACAGATAGATTAGCGTGGACATCGAAAAATGTGAAACTAGCCTTTGTCAATTAGTCTTTCTGTAGTTTATAAAGGAATAAAGGGAATGAATCTAGTTTGTTGATAATTTCGCAACGATAGAGCTATATATAAAGTGAAAATTTACGACAGGAAAAAGCCAAATTCAACCAAGAAATCATAGAATACAAATCGCTATTGTTCTCCTGATTGTAACTGATCCAAGACATCACAACTCAACAATCATGGATAGTAACGATAATTCATGTGCGTCTATAGTTCCAAAACTCTCTTACTATTCAGTTCACCTCTGTTTGTTTCTCTCGGTACTTTCAATCTTTTGTAACTTCCGTTTTTTTGTTTTTGTTTTGATATTCTAGTTCTTTACTACGTCATAATCGAACTACTCGTTTAACTATACCATGTGAAAACAGTACATTAATTTATAGTTATTTAAATTCACCAATAGTACGTCGATTTATCAATGTCAGACTTGATTTACCAAAAGAATGGGATGTTTGCAGTGAAACAGTTAATACCAATTATGTTCGAATTTATGGTGATCTTACAGAGCAGTATATGCAGTTACTGAAATCTGAGGTAGGTCTGTTTTGTCGTACACAATTTTAGCCTGTGTTATTTGTTTAATGGACGAGACCTAACTACGTAGTACAGATTGAAGTAACCGGCTCTTTGACTTAACATGCAATTGTTTGCATAAACTAGTGATACGATTGATAAGTCACTGAGAAGTAAGTGTCCACTGTGAATGATCAATCAATTGTAGATTACGTATACTTAAATGTGATTAGTCACGGTTCTAATAACCATATGGTAATATCTCAAATTATGTAGCTGGATGATATGTATTCGAATGTTTTATGGACTATAAGTCCCATGGAGAGTTCAGTTGTCTTGTTGACGATATTGATCAATTAAGAAAAGACCTATGTCAAACAGGATTTCCTCCCGACCACCTGACAACCGGCAATAAGATACGATATCTGGTTGCCCTAAATTCAATCAGATAATTCCCATTTAAACATTAAAATCAAAAATACGAAGTTCAGCGAAAGGATCTCTTTTCAACGAATTTATTATCCAGTTGTTAAAGTACTAATTCCGTGAAGAAATGTGAACACTAATAACCAAGATTATATTACTAGATTACGTAATAAAAGTAGTAACAATAGATTTAGTGAATATAATAAGATGATTAAAGTGATTCAAAACATTTTGTTACCATAATTAGAGGTCATTAAAGGTCATAGATGTGTAAAAATAAATAATCAGAAGGGGTTTTGTTTAGATTTAGTATTTTTCATAGTTGAAAGCGTGAGTCAATTGAAGCTAGACCATCTTGGAAAACCTGGAAACACTGGACGGCCATTTCTTCCTATTATGGGACTCCTCAGCAGTGCTCGAAACTGGTAGGTCCTGGGTTCAAATCTCGCGAGAGCGGGTTCGTGGATGCGCACTGCTGAGGAGTCCCATAATAGGATGAAACGGTCGTCCAGTGTTTCCAGGTTTTCCATGGTGGTCTAGCTTCAATTGACTCACGCTTTCAACCATGAAAAATAAATAAGGTGATATGATGAGTATTCATGAATAAAATAATGAGAATATATGACATAAGTAATGGGGAAATGGAGTAATAATAATAAGATTATTAAGGCTATGGTAACGATAATGATAAGACGTATTTCTTTTGTACGCATAGTTCTGGTTTGAGCTCATGGATGGTAAGAGCTTCGGCTATTTTTAGGAGTTTGATACGAAGAAATCATATAAACAACCTTAAAATCAGATTATGGATCTGTAGAATGGTTATAGTCTATTAGGTGTTCAAGTATAGAACTCCTATCTGCTTTCTTTTCACCCTTGTAGAACCAAACTGGTATATGTTCTCGTATCCGAGTTGAAAGCGAGCTCTGACTATGGCCGATGTACCTTGCTCCACAAGAACATGTGAACTGGTAAATGCACATCTAGGCGACCAAATGCAGAAGCTTATCTTTTTGATCGTTGTTGTTAAACGATTTTTAATTACATCTGATGTTGGATCACTTTTAAATTCCGGACTTATATAAAGGTTTCTCTTTGGGACGGAATAGCTAGGTTTCCTGTCGACGCTACTTCTATTCGTATTCTTCTTTATGAACCGGTCTGAGTAGCCATTTTTCATCAAGGTTTTCTTGAAGAACACGAGTTCTTCGTTAATGCATTCCGTACTACATATCCTTTTTCTCGATGTACGTCTAGTGAGAAGTAGTAATGCTTCTTTAAAAAGATCCATCTTTTAGAAAGCAAACATGGAATGGCCAACTAACCAACTTCTATAGCTGGATTCTGTTAAGTAGAAAGAGAAACTTGATTCATTCTTTATGTTATTGTATACATATAAGTTCAATTGACTCATGATCTCAACTATATAAAATTACTAAAATCTCCATTAAACCCCCTTCTGTCAATAATATATGCCTTATTCTGACCTATGTAAAATATCACAATAATTATAGATCTATAACTGTAAAGCCTGAATGATGAAGTCATTAATGAATACAACACAACTATTAGTCATTGAAACTTTTCAGTAAAGATTAGTATAAGTTTCCAGATGTAGAGTAACAGTATTTGGTGAAATATTGAAAAGCGGGAACTTTTATTTTTTTCCCTTTTTGATTGTAGATTTTTGTTTTAATATACAATGGTGACATTGATATGGCATGTAATTATTTTGGCGATGAATGGTTTGTGGATAATTTAAATCTGACGGTATGTTGTTCAGTGAATAAATTCTATGAATGATAATAATAATAATAAACATTTTGTTCACATGAAATAGGAAAAAGTTAGCTGTTGTTTGGTGGAAACCATCCCACAGAGATGATCATCATTATACTATACACAATGTGGTTGTTATCTATTGAACAGATTTACTCTCCAGTGTTTTGTTATTGTGTTTAACGACATTACAATTGTCAGAAGGGGGTTTTGTGGAGATTGTAGTAATTTTATATAGTTGAGATCATGAGTCAATTGAAGCTAGACCATCATGGGAAATCTGGAAGCATTGGACGGCTGTTTCGTCCTATTGTGGGACTGTTCAGTGGCAGTGGGCATCCACGATCCGGCCTCGCGAGATTCGAACCCAGGACCTATCAATTTCGCACGCAAGCGCTTAACCTCTAAACCACTAAGTCGGCATCCAACAGTGCTAATGTCTAACTTCAGCCGATCCACGAAATTGAGCAATCATTCACCAATATCTGCAGTGGTTGAACTCCATTGGTTACTGATTCTCACTAGAACAGTAGGAAATACCCTATGGAACCAGTCACTAGTGAGCATATGATCATCATCAGAAGGGGGTTTTCTGCAGATTCTAGTGCTTCCAGGTTTTCCATGGTGGTCTAGCTTCAATTGACTCATGATTTCAACCATATAAAATCTAATGATTTGTTGAATATAGAGAGAAAAGGTTAATAATTAATAAAATGAATGACTATATTGTTATGACTTGACCTAGCCGTCGCCAATTTGTTATGTTTTTGACCTAGGCGGTAGCCAATTGTTATGACTTGATCAAGGTCGTCGCTGATTCGTTATGACCTTACGAATTTAACAAGGACGTAATTCGCGTAAATTGTCCACCAATAGAATACGACTTCTACGACCTTCACACTGTGACAACGACGTCCGATTAGTATGAGTAATCTAGCGTCCTTATTGTCCCTTATCCGCCTAACCCGTCCACTTGAGTCCAAAAACACCAATAGCAGCTGCTGTAATGCGAATCGTTTATTTCAAACATACTTTGTCTATATACCAGACAGACAGACGACACCACACCATAAAATAGAAAATAATACTTGTACAAAACCAGGCCAAATGAGGCTGTAAGCTGAGTATAACTGAGTATAACATAGGGACAGTAAATCATATAGTAATAATCAATAGGTCAAAATGAAGCTTACAATAAAATGAATATAGATATAGATAATCTAGTTACCCGTACTTATGTCTTCGCTACTACATAACATATATAACATTACAATTGTGTCTAATTCACCTTCACTCGGTGTGACCAGTTATGTCCCTCAGAAATGAAAGACTTTTGAGAACCGATTATCTACACTTGTCATGTAACCAATTTCTAATTGGCCCAATGTTTCAGTTACAGTTACAAATTGAACAATTGAGGTGTGTAGCTGGACAATTGTTTGTTCATTTATCTGTTTACTTAATACACATGAATTTTGGTATAAATAAACACAAAAACAGGTAGGCATTTGTGAGAAGATACCAGCTTATTGTCTAGGTGCCTCGAAATGGTGATACTATTGGAACTAATACTAGTAGTGATATTGGTTGTATAATCGATCCATGATCTTGCTTAACCCTTCATCCATTGTCTGAGATAAATAACTGTCTCACACTCGACATGGGTTGGACTCTACTGTATCACAGTTTCTCACTAGAATTCTAGGAAATGCATCTTGAATCTAGTGACTAGTGAGTATATGATTATTATCAGTATGATAATTGAAGTATTTTCACAGGTAAATTCATGAGTCTGTCTAGTGAATTTAGACATCAACACAGTTGGATGCCAGCTCAGTGGACTAGAGGGGTTAAACGTTGAAGCGTGAGACTTCGGGTCCTGGGTTCGAGTCTCGTGTACGAGGTTGTGGATGCACACTGACGAGAAGTTCAAACTGGGATTTAACAGCTTTTCAGAACTTTCAGATTTTCAGTGGTGTATTAGCTTTGATGGACTCATGAATTCAACTATGAAAATATTCAGATAAGACAACTCATTAGAACAGTTAGTTATAATTGTTGTTATTCAAATAATAAGTGGCATATTCAATAGAATATGGAGTTCAGATTTCTTTATTAATTATTCGTTACCATAGGACAGTTAATTGTATTCCATCTCTTTTATTAATACTATTTGGATTCGCTGATATGTTTAGGGATTCAACTGTTAGTCTTTCTTTGTAAGAATCAAAGCCTTGCTGAGGAACTCTTGTGCCATTGAAATTTATTGTATGACTCGACTCTATTGAGATTTTACAAATATATTCTTCCTTCTTAATGTCTTACATTAACTCAGCACACAAATACCATGCAACTGTTCATTCGACGTTAGACAAAAGTTCTTATATGTTTATTATTATGACTGAGTAATGTGGTGTCGCCTTACTTACTGGATTACGAGTTTGAGTGAACTGTGTTGCGATGTTAACATGTATCCATTGAACGCATCAGTTTGATTTCGGATTTTGATTTATTGTTTACAATATACGTGTAGCAGTTTACACATTTCAGTCCTTAATTTAAACTTTTTATGGTTTTGTAAGAACTGGTGATTTACGGTTTGCCAACTATTGTAAACGAATATTGCAGCTTTTGACATTGTAATTGAATATTTTATAACACTGAATTTTCATTCAACATAAATTTCAATTATATACTGTAACTAAGAAAATTTGTCATAGTATGTTAATTTGTTTCATGAAGTGACATTGTTATTGATGACGATAAAATAGACGCCCCCAAATGCACTGGTACGGCTGAGAGTGGGGAGAGTCCGCTCTCCCTCTCCAAATGCTCTCACATTGCCGTACGTACATAGCCTCTATCAGAGAAGTCCTACTCACTGCCTTCTCGTGGCATTATTACTGTTATTTACGAAATTGAGAGGACGAAAAGCCAATGTCCGGCGCTTTAACCGGGTTGGTGGACACGGAAAGTTCACCTAGTGGAGTTGGAAGACCCCCACTCCAAACCAATGGTGCACATGGGCTGGCTCCAGTATCCTGAGGGAACAAATAGCGTATGAACCTATTGTTGGTCACCGGCTACCATGGGACTACATCTCCTCACGATGCTCTACTGCTTTGTGGATCAGACCTTTAGGTCGAAGGCTCCGTGTGTGGCCCCCTAAGAAAACCACCTGCTTTAGTTTGGGCACCTGGGTAGTATCACAGCCCTCACACAAATCAAATTAGATTTGTGTGGCGCATATATATCTAGTGCTCCCTTGTACCAATTATTATTATATGATGTATGAACCTCTCCACTTACTTCGTAAGTAATCAATTTTTTGAAAAGATAAATGAACCCACGACATCAACCTGTTTTCTGTTCAGTGAACATATGTGATCGCGTTAGGCATGGCGGTTTAGTTAGTATAAAAATGTTGATAATTATCATGAAATTAATGCTCATCCATCATCATACATTCCATAGACATAGTTCACCAACATACTTTTTTCCCGATGATCATACTTCAGAATAAACTCACCTTGATGAAGTTTAATAAAAATTCCCTTAATTAAATGCAATGCTGTAATCATATTGTAAGCATAAAATAGTTTTATGTGTCTTCATCTAGTTCCTTTGGCAATTAAATCAAAAGAAAGTATAAAGGATAATTGTCTTCCTACTTAAATCGATTTTTCAATGTTATGATTGTATAGGATTTTTTCCAATTGATCAGTAAATTAATTGATTTTGACTGTGTTTGTTGATGATAAATCATCATGCTTGACCGTTTACTGGTGTTCATATGCATGAAAGTGAAGTGGGACGCCACTCTGCCCAATTTGATGATCTTTGTTGCTGGAACACTTTATTTTTTAGCCACAAAGTCTCGAGTCCAAACCCTGCTCCACTTATTTCGTGTCCTAGTAGCAAAACTGTTTCATTATCCCTACAGTGTGTGGCTCGAAGAGAAGTATGCAAATTTGTAATTATTAGTCATCCAAACAAATAGATTTCTTTATCATTACTTTGAATGTTTTGTAAATTTGTAGATCATATCTCCCCGTTCACCTTGGTTATATGTTGAAAAAGATGGTACCAAACAGATCGGCGGATATTGGAAATTGTTATCAGCCAATGTATCGACTTTGGTGTATACGACTGTTCGAGGTGCAGGACATATGGTGCCACGAGATAAACCTGCTGCAACATTTCACATGATTAGTAGGCTCATTCACTTCGAACCTTTTTAATATGTAAAGGATTCTAATAGGAAACTTGAACAGCCGACTATCTCCCTACTTATATTTTTGATTCTGATTATTTTGTCATAAGACACTACTGTTTTTTGCTCCTTACCATTGTGGTATTTGTAGTTCTAGAAAAATTGATGAAAATTGTCATGCTTTGTATTTTAATGCCCAAATCTTGAAATATTGTACCACTTTGATTTTATCTGTCTGTTTTATATCGTCAAATTCGAACTTAGCTACGAGACTGAATTATTGAGTTCTGTTTATCTATATTTCTTGATGTGTGTTTGATTTCCACCTTACCAATTTAATAATAGGTTTTTGATAAACGTCGGGTCGCGAAACCGTTTGTCTGAACGACTGTTTATTATTTTCGGTGTCATATTGAGTGATGTAGTATTCAGAATGATGACTACAGGCCTAGAACTTATTTCACGTCCAATGATTTGCAATGGGACGATGCCCATACCCCATATAAATATAATCCTGTTACGTCATTACGTACTTATTCCAAAGAGGTTATGAGCACTTACATATGTAGCAGTACATGACTATCCTGTTACTTGACAACCCCAATGTTCGAAATCTTGTCAATGACGAATGGTTGAGGAACGATTGCTTGAACTCCGATCATATGCGTTAAGTGGGGTGTTTCCGGTTGTCTTTTCACCCAGTCAGTCGTGAACAGTCGGTTGTTTGCCTTCATATCACTAGTTAGTCAAGATACATAATATGATTACTCCACTTTTACATCTCAGAGATATGTATGCGACAAGCCTTTAGTTGTTACTAACATTCGTTTACTTTCGATAGCAAGTTACATTAGTTGGTGAAGTCTGCAACCAGAACATGAAGTACAAATATGGCGGCACTTTTCCTGGTAAAGGTATTTTCGTTTTAAACTTTTCAAGTCACAACTAGAGGGCATTGAAGTAGTCAATGAGATTGGTGTGTTCCGATGACATAGTTTGCTTCAACGAACACCAGAATACTTTTTTAAGGACTGGTTGCTTCTCATTTTTGTCTTCCATATCGAGAAGCACTGACCCACTAATAGGCTGAATTTTATGTGTAAAGAGGAACTGGTGGTAGTCAGCACTACTAGCTGAGGGTGGCCAGTCAGGTAATCGTTGTCGTACGCCACAGTATAGTTGACACTGCTCTGCTAGATAGACAGTTTAGTAGCTGCACATTTACCTACCTCTGCTTGTGCTTGGGGCCAATTACTTCTCACTCCTTTACTCATCGACTTTTCTCCTTTAGAGTCACTAGATCATCCTTTCTGATCAAAATCATCTATAAATTTGGGAAATACGATGACTCTTGCACTGTTGGGACGAATTAGATATATGCTTGAGGGACCTTGTTCGAATTTCTGGACATCAGTCATTTCACTCATTTTCATTGTTCTGTATACCTGCCATTTTGAGCGATGCTAGAAAGATATGGGACAAGCATTCGACAGTCTGTGGTAAAATCCAAACCATGTTATTCGGGTGCAAGATAATTAAAGTTTTCACAACGCTAATGATTAATGGGAGGAGAGTCATTGTCAGGGGCTGTTTTTCTCCTCTGGAGACTGTAATGAGGAGTTTCATACTTCATCTATCTAGGCCTACACCTTGGTTTAAGTATTATCAGAACTGCACACTGACAATACCATCAGAATTAAAGCGGCGTCTATCAGCATAATGATATGGATTATATTCGCTTCATATTAGGTATCGCTCTTCATAAAATGTATTTCTGTATGCACCAAATTACTACCAGGATTTCCACTAGAAATTTTTTTGAGTTGGGTCAGAGGCACTGATCAATGTAAGATATAATTCTCCACATCAGTTGTTACCCAGACCGTTTCTTAAAGTAAGAGTTAAACTTAGTGTACTTTATTGGAAGAAGAGAGTATGGAAATAGAGTGCATTTCTCTCAATTCACATGGACTTGGATGATGTATACAAGTACGAGTCACGAAATCGCTTGGAGGAATGAAATTAAAACCTCGTGAATAGCATCCTTGGGCAGTGAAATTCTATTCCTTAGTGTACGGGCGTCCAAGGGGTGACCTTTTAGTAACTTATAGCATCCTAAACACGCTTGTGCGTCCCAAGAAAAACTCAAGGGTAACACTCGGAATTTAGAGAAACAAAATGGAATGATGGACTGAAATAACACATTCTACTCTTCGCGAGTAGTTGAATTATGGCATTCGCTGCTAACTGAGATAGTCAAGACGACTTTCTGGAGGTCCTTCAAGAGAGAACGTGATATGTGCAGAACTGTGTCTTACTCGCGCCTTTCGAAAATGGCAGACATTTAGTACTTGTTTTGATGATCCTTGCGTTTGTGTACTTGTTGCATCAAAAAGTATTCTTGATCTAATTCAACAGGAAGTATTTTGGTTAAGGTTCGAAATTTCGCTAATGTTTGTCATTGGTACATTCTTTCTCATTGACTTTGACACTTGTTTTCCTATTGTGACCATATTGTTTTTTAAACCTTCCTACTCTGATTACAATAGTTGTCAGTACTTATAAATTTGGATAACCAAATTGTTTATTTACTCGGGAGCAAGGAATGTGATGTGTGTAAAGAGTGGTTACATAAAATGCGTACCCGTCTAATTCTCACTGCATACAAAAGTTGCTCGAAGCTTAACTCACATTGTCTTTGTACGTTTTGCTGAACGAATAAGACGTTACTGATTCAGGAGGCTTTGAGCCTACTAGCTTTGACCTGTAAGAAGAAGGATGATGGTTGCTCTGGAACACGAGTCAGACAGTAAAAAATGTGTCAGTGTTGTATGCGCTGTTACGGGTTGCGTCTAACACTCGACTATGATTGACGGAGAAGTTAAAACCAACCAGAGGTGAAGTGCCATTTGATATTGACGTGGGTAGTCATGCATCTCTAGTTGAAATTGAAAGCCCGGATAAAGCCATCACCCTTCCGAATAGTCTCGAGGTGGCTGTCCTTAGTTATGAAAAATGGGCGGCAGTACGGAGAAATATAAATGAACATAAAAACGGTCCTGATCCCAAAATTATACACACTCACGAAGAATATATCCGTAGGATCTTACTAGATAACACTAATGGAGTTCAGGTCAAAAATTTGATATGAATGGGTAAGAGGACCGACGACACAGACTCCTTAAGGTAATTCTAGGGTTTGGGGAAGCGACTGGATCTTCTGTTACGTGGCGCCGTAGTCACGACATTGTCGATGTCCGAGTAAGACTTGATATGTCTCTTGAAGACAGAATAATAAGGAAGATGGCATTAGCTGAACTAGATACCCATCCACAAAACGGTGAGGAAAAGTTTCGAATAGTCAGGTCTTGGAAGCGAATGCTACCAGGGTCTGTGTGGACAGGCCGTTCTCCCTAAGAGTTTTATATGCCAACGCTCTAGTCTAAGACATAAATTCTATGAATTCGGAGCATTAGTAGACATATTAAGGCCACTCATTGTAGCTGTGTTGGAAATTGGGTTAGTCCATGACTTCGACATTACTCTGGAGTTGTCCGGACACCATTGCCTAATAAGTGATAGACATAGATGCAGGAAAGCAGGTACTTACTTACTTTACTTTACTTACGCCTGTTACCCCTTGTGAAGGAGCATAGGCCGCTCACCAGCATTCTCCATCCAACTCTGTCCTGAGCCTTCCTTTCCAGTTCTTTCCAGTTACTATTCAGCCTTTTCATATCGGCTTCTATTTCCCGGCGTAGTGTGTTCTTTGGCCTTCCTCTTTTCCGCTTTCCTTCCGGATTCCAAGTTAGGGATTGAGTCGTGATGCACATTGGTGATTTCCTTAATGTATGTCCGATCCACTTCCAACGTCTTTTCCTAATTTCCTCTTCAGCTGGAAGCTGGTTTGTCCTCTCCCATAGAACGCTGTTGCTGATAGTATCCGGCCAGTGGATGTTGAGTATTTTGCGTAGACAACTGTTTATAAATACTTGTACCTTCCTGATGATGGTCGTAGTAGTTCTCCACGTTTCAGCTCCATACAGTAGGACTGTCTTGACGTTCGTATTAAAGATTCTGACCTTGAAATTGGTTGAGAGTTGTTTTGAGTCCCATATGTTCTTCAATTGTAGAAATGCTGCCCTTGCTTTGCCAATCCTCGCCTTTACATCTGCATCCGATCCTCCTTGTTTATCAACGATGCTCCCCAGGTACTTGAATGTTTCCACCTCTTCCAGAGTTTCGCCGTCAAGTGTGATTGGGTTGGTGTTCTCCGTGTTGCATTTGAGAATCTTGCTTTTTCCTTTGTGAATGTGGAGACCTATCGATGCGGAGGCTGCTGCTACATTTGCTGTCTTCATCTGCATTTGGTCGTGTGTATGAGAGAGGAGGGCTAGGTCATCTGCGAAGTCCAAATCATCTAATTGATTCTGAGCTGTCCATTGTATTCCGTATTTCCCTTCAGATGTCGAATTCTTCATAATCCAGTCAATCACTAGAAGGAAGAGAAATGGGGAGAGTAGACAGCCTTGTCTGACTCCGGTCCTTACTGGAAATGCATCTGTCAGCTGTCCTCCATGCACCACTTTGCACTGTAATCCATCGTATGAGTTTTGGATAATGTTGACGATCTTCTGAGGAACTCCATAGTGTCGAAGAAGTTTCCACAATGTTCTCCTATCCACGCTGTCAAACGCCTTCTCATAGTCGATGAAGTTGACGTATAGTGATGAGTTCCACTCAACTGATTGTTCAACGATGATCCGTAGTGTCGCAATCTGGTCTGTGCACGACCGATCCTTACGGAATCCAGCCTGATGATCCCTAAGTTCGGCGTCTACTGCGTCTTTCATCCGATTCAGCAGCACTCTGTTGAAAACTTTTCCTGGTACTGATAACAAACTGATGCCTCTGTAGTTCTCACATTTGCTCAGATCTCCTTTCTTTGGTATCTTGATGAGATATCCTTCTTTCCAGTCCGTTGGCACTTGTTCCTCTTCCCAAATCTTCTTGAATAGAAGGTGAAGCATATTTGCAGTTATTTCAATGTCTGACTTCAGTGCTTCTGCTGGTATATTGTCAGGTCCTGCCGCCTTCCCACTTTTGATTTGTCTGATGGCCATCTTGACTTCTTTGATCGTTGGTGGAGTGATATCTATTGGAAGGTCAGTGTGGGCTGCTTCGATGTTCGGTGGATTAAATGGGGCTGGTCTATTCAGCAGTTCCTCAAAGTATTCTGCCCATCTTTTCCTCTGTTCCTGAATCTCAGTGATTGTCTTTCCTTCTTTGTCTTTGACTGGTCTCTCTGGTTTGCTATATCTCCCTGCCAATTTCTTCGTTGTATCATATAGTTGTTTCATATTCCCTTCTCTTGCAGCTTTTTCCGCCGTCGTTGCTAGTTCTCCCATGTATTTCTGCTTGTCGGCTTTAATGCTTTTCTTCACTTCCTTGTTTGCTTCTGCGTAGTCTGCTTGTGCTTTGACTTTCTCTGCTCGTGTTCGGCTGTTGTTAATTGCTAGTTTCTT